CAAAGGAAAAGTCCTAGGAATATTATAGACAAATTCCAGAGTTTCCAGGTCAAGGAGAAAAATTGCAAGCAGCCAGAAATAATTCAAGTATTGTGGAAACACAATTAGGATAACACAAGATTTAGCAGCTTCTACATTAAGGGACTGGAGGGCTTGGGATATAATATTCTGGAGGTCAAAGGATATAGGATTACAACCAAGAATCACCTACCCTGCAAAACTGAGTATAATACTTCAAGGGAAAAAAAATGGTCATTCAGTGAAATAGAGAACTTTCAAGCATTCTTGATGAAAAGACCAGAGCTGAATAGAAAATCTGACTTTCAAATGCAAGACTAAAGAGAAGCATGAAGAGGTAAACAGGAAAGAGAAATAATAAAGGACTTATTAAGATTGAACTGTTTACATTCCTGCATGGAAAGATGATATTTGTAACTCATGAAACCTTTGTCAGTATTAGGGTAGTTGAAGCGAAAGATTATATGTATGTCTAGATAGATAGATAGATAGGTAGATAGATAGGTAGGTAGATAGATAGATAGATAGATAGATAGATAGATAGATAGATAGATAGATAGATAGATAGATAGATAGAGGCACAGGGTGAGTTAAAGATGAAATGGTGATATCTGGAGAATAAAATTAAACTGTGAGAGAGGATTATACTGAGAGAAGGAGAAAGGGAGAGGTAAAATGGGCTAAATTATCTTACATAAAACAGACAAGAAAAGGCTTTTACAGTGGAGAGGAAGCAGGGGGAAGGTGAGAGGGAATGAGTGAATCTTATTCTCATCAGAGTTGATGTAAGGAGGGAATAACATACACACTCAATTGGGTATGGAAATCTTTCTTACCCTTTCAGAAAATAGGAAAGAAGGGGATAAGAGAGCCAGGGGATAATAGAGAGGAGGGCAGATTGGGGGAGGGGTTAATCAGAAGCAAACACTTCTTAGGAGGGACAGGGTCAAAAGAGAGAATAGAATAAACAGGGGGCAGGATAGGATGAAGGGAAATATAGTTAGTTTTTCACAACATGACTACTATGGAAGTATTTTGCATGACCACACATGTATAACCTGTATCAAGTTGCTTGCCTTCTCAATGAGGGTGGGTGGGGAGTGAGGGAGAAAATTTGGAACCAAAACAAATGTTAAAAATTGTTTTCACATGCAACTGGGAAATAAGATATACAGGCAAGTGGGTACAGAAATTTATACCATCCTACAGGAAAATAGAAGGGGAAGAACATAAGTGAAGGTGGGGGAGAGAGAAGGGAAGGCAGATTAGGGGAAGGGGTATTCAGAATGCATGTCATCTTGGGGTGAGGAGAAAAACAAGATGGGGAGAAAATCTGGAACTCAAAATCTTGTGGAAGTGAATGTTGGAAACTAAAAAAATTAATTAAGTAATAAAAGAAATAAGAAAAGAAAAAGGTACTATATTTTTGTACATGTAGGTTCTCTTCCCATTCTTATGATCTCTTTGGAATACAGCCCTAGAAGTGCTATTGCTGGGTCAAAGGGTATGCACATTTTTATAGCCCTTTGGGCATAGTTCCAAATTGCTCTCCAACATGGCTGGGTCAGTTCACAACTCCACCAACAATGCATTAGTGTTCCAATTTTCTCACATCCTCTCCAACATTTATTATTGTCCTGTTTTGTCATGTTACCCAATCTGATAGGTGTGATGTGGTACCTCAGAGTTGTTTTGATTTGCATTTCTCTAATCAATAGTGATTTAAAGCATTTTTTCATATAACTATAGATAGTTTTAATTTCTTCATCTGAAAACTGCCTGTTCATATCTTTTGACCATTTATCAATTGGGGAATGACTTTTATTCTTATAAATTTGACTTAGTTCTCTATATATTTTAGAAATAAGGCCCTAGCAGAGACATTGGTTGTAAAAATTCTTTCCCAGTTTTCTGCTTCCCTCCTAATCTTGGTTGCATTGGCTTTGTTTGTGCAAAAACTTTTCAATTTAACGTAATCAAAATTATCTGTTTTGCATTTCATAATGTTCTCTGTCTTATGTTTGGTCACAAATTCTTCTGTTATCCATGATAATTTTAATTTTTAAAAACAAATAAAATGGAAAACTAAAGTTCTTATGCTGTTCTTCAGTTGTGTCCGACTCTTTATGACCCCATTTGATGCTCTCTTGGCAAAGATACTTGAGTGGTTTGCCATTTCCTTCTCTAGCTCATTGTATAGGTGAAGTTTTGAGGCAAACAGGGTTAAGTGACTTGCCCAGGGTCACACACCTAGAAAGTATCTGAGGTCAGATTTGAACTCAAGTCTTCCTGATTCCAGGAACAGTGCTCTATCCATTGCTCTATATAGCTGTACCTATAGAACTGCCAGAAACCAGTTTTTCAAAGTGTATACAGTAACTTCACTCTTTTCCTTGAAGTCTGACTAAACCCAAATGCTGCAACCCCTGTTCACTTGCTTTCTTTTTTTTTTTTTTTGGCTAGGCAATGAGGTAAAGTGACTTGCCTAGGGTCACACAGCTAGTAAGTGTTATATGTCTGAGGCTGCATTTGAACTCAAGTCCTCCTAAATCCAGGGCCGGTACTCTATCCCCTGTGCCACCTAGCTGCCCCTGCCCTTCACTTTCAAATCAGATTTCTACATGTATTTGGTGAGGCTCGCTATTACAGAAGCAAGTTTTTCCATTTCTGCCCATTATTTTTGTTATGCAAGCTCATCAATTCTACTCTCATAATTCTCTTGAATCACTCAAGATCAGCACATTGTGGCTCCATGTTCTCTTCAAATTCCACAGGGTCTCCTGTCTTATCAACTGTTGGCTCATTTTCCATTGTTTTGTAGTATTTATTTATAGATTTCTGAACTCATTTACTAGATCTGGAAGTCATATTTCCTCCTGTTGTTACGGGGTTTTTTGTTGAAGTATCTGTTTATGTTCAAAGTCTTTGAGTTTTTTTTTCCTTCATCAAATGCATTATAATTTCATTCCCCCTCCCCTCATTTTCCCCACTGTTCACTTTCTGACTCCTTCCCCTCTGACTGTGGTTTCTTTGGGGGCAAATTTCAAAGATTATCAGTCTCTTTCCACACTAGGCAAATTCACATACCACCAAGTGACTTTTGGGTGGTCATAACTGGTCCCAGCTGGATGCTGTGCTCTTTCCCCAAACTTGTTAGAGTGCTACACAGCCCTCCCACCTCCCTATATACACACAGTGTACTTGCCTGATATTCTGTTCTGCTCACTTTCTTACTTAGTTCTTGGCTCAACACTGGCATTTTGGAGCTTTGCAACATGGGTACAACAGGATTGTTTGCCCTAGCACCAGCTCTGCTGGTATTACTGTTGACCCAGCTTCTATTCTGCTGGTGCTAGAGTTATCTGCCCCAGCACTGGCAAGTCACAGCTTTGCAGTATTGGTTCTATAGGGTTATGGCCCCTGGCTGGTTTTTGATCCTGAAAGGCTGTGCCCTCCTGGTTATCTCTTTAAAGCAAGGTAAATTTCTCCACCCCAGAAGCTGGAGTTTTCATACTACTGCAAAGAGGGAGGAAGACACCACAGTCTGGGGAGTGGGTTTTGTTATAAGCCTATCTCATGTCCTTGGGTCGACTAGTTCAGCTTTAGTACTGGTAGTATGAGAGGTGGCAATAGAGGTGCTGAGTGAACTCAGGGTTACTGAACATCAGTTCATGTTTCGGAATTGTTTTTAACCTTCTATTGAATTCTAAGTGTCCTAGAACATGGAGACCATTTAAGTTACTTAATCTTTGGTGCATGAGTTCTGTTTTGAAGAGGTTTGAGAGGTTGTAGCGATTAGTGAAAATGTTTAGCTCTCCATCTTGTTGATCGTTCATCTCAAAAATCTACCTACATGTCTTGATAGCCAAGAGAATTTGACCATTTTTTAACTATCTCTGCTTCCAAAAGTACAATCTGATTAATTCATGTCCACATCTGATTGAGAGATGTGTGATTACTCAAGCAGATTTTAAGACCCCATAGCCATCCTAGTTGGTTGTGGTGAGAATATTGTTAGGTATAATTTCATCCTGAATTGAACATTTTTCTTGATGGTTCTGCACTGTTTTTAAATCAGAGACCATCAGTTCAGATTATACCGTAAAATGAATAGACTACTAATAGAAAGAACTACTCTTACAACAATTCTGATATTTTTTCTCTTTTGGTTATTACGTACAAAGAAAATTGGATTTGGAGTTAGTTTCAGTTAAAAGCTCACTTCATTTTCTTCATGTGTAAAATGGGGATAACTTATACATATGCATATAAATGTATGTATATGTGTATATACACATATATGTGTGTATATGTGCATATATATGCATATGTGCGTGTGTGTGTATACACACATACATACACACTACCTATCTCACAAGGTTCTTAGAAATAAGGTGCTCCACAAAAATTAATATATCAACAAACAAATAATAACCTGATGTCAAAAATACTTTTCGTAATCTTTTCAACTTTAGTGTTCACTTGATCATAATTTGATCACCTTTACTCCTGGCCTATTCCTTTCTAGTCCTGAGTTGTTTTTTTTTTCTTTTTGCTAATTTGTATTGTTAGATGGGTGGAGGGAAGCAACATGTTACAGTGACAATAATTTTGTATCTGGAGTCAAATCTAAGTTCAAATTCAACCTCTGAAACATATTTTTTTGTTTAATTTAAGGTAAGTCACTTTGGTTTGGTTCACAGTTTTCCCAACTTTGAAATGAGGTTAGACTAGAAAGCCTCTCAGGCTTTCCTTTTCAGCCCTCAATCTGTAATCCTGTGATCCTAGCCCAAACTTTGCATTTTATAGTTAAGGATCCAGAGACCCAGACAAGTTTAGCATATAGCAGAGATTGACCTAGTTTAATTTCAGATACATTGCTCTTTCCACTTGATGACATTCCGTTACAATTACAATTATACAGAATGCTGTTGGGTAAGAGCTCTGTATCAATACAAGTCACTTTCTCTTTTTGGGCCTCAGTTCTCCATCTATAAAAAGGAGGCGATTGAAAGATTGGAACTCATAACCTTTTTTTTTTTTTACCTGGAAAACTTTTCATTGTAAGTAGAGTGGGATAGCTGGACACAGTTTTGATGATTCCAATTTTGTTGGCAACATCTAAAGCATTATAGTCTAGAGCAAGTTGGACATAGGCCTTCTTCTCTCCAACAGGCCAGATCAGCATATTGACCTTGGCCACACTGATGTCCGTCGGTGTCATACAGCTTCTTTACGGCCTGCTTGATCTGATGCTTGTTGGCTTTGACATCCACAGTGAAGACCAGGGTGTTGCTGTCTTCAATCTTCCTAGTGGACTCAGTGGTCAAGGGAAACTTAGTGATGGCATAGTGGTCAAGCTTGTTCCTCTGAGGAGCCCTTTTTCTGTGGGTTTTTGGACTGCCATTGAAGACTTAGTGTCTTGGGTCACCAGAATGTAGGGGACATTTGGATTGTCTTCTTTTTGTGGCTATGAACACCCTTCAACACTGCCTTCTTGGCCTTCAAGGCCTTGGACTTAGCTTCTGTCTTGGAGGGTACAACTGCTTCCTTCTTCACCTTTGGTTCCATCTTGGTGGAAAGCCTTGATAATCTTTAAAGTCCCTTCCAGCTCTAAATCTTATATCCCTGTGAACTTAAGGCAGTAAGTGCCCAGAAAAATAATTAAGAAGAAAACAAAATGAAACATAAGGTCACCAAACAGATTTGGAGTAGAATTGTCTAGAGATCAGAATTTATTAATCAGGGGCCCACATGGGGGTCCATGAAGTTTGAGGGGACAAATATTAATCAAAATAAATACTTGGTTTCCTTTGTAATCCTATATATTTTATTTTATGCATTTAAAAGCATTATTCTGAGAAGGGATATAGGCTATTTTTGCCCTTTGTTTTGGGAGGATTACTGGACAAAGATACAGGCGGGAGAGATCGCAGACATCCCTTTGGGCAGGAGCTCAGTGGGCCAGCATGTGGAGCTCATAAGTCAGGGGCACATCACCTAGGCCTGTGAACTGAGAAGTCAGGTCTATGTTCTCAGGCTTCTCCAGTGGGCTCAGTTTGAAATGCTACAGGATGGTGGTGAGGAAGAGAAAGATCTCCATTCAGGCCAGGCTTGTCCCTAGGCACATGTGCTTCCCTAGATCAAAGGGCATAAAAGCCTCGTTTGCTAGGGAGGCCACTTTCTCATCTAGTTAGTTGGTCAGGTCAAAGCATGCTGCTGGGTCTTTGAACTGGAGAATCCCTGTATGTAAGGACCAAAAGTGGGATTATGTGGATGTTCTTGGGCAGGAAGTAACCACAAAAATGGGTATCCTGAATGATGGCTCTGGATAGGCCTATGGGTAAGATGCAAATGAGTCTCTGGATCTTGTGCAGGACTGTGTTGGTGTAGGACAGATTTTCTCTGTAGTCTAAGCAAGAGGCCCTGTGCTGGACCACCACATGTTCTATCTCTTGGGCTTTTTTTGTCACTTTGGGATACCTGAGCAAAATCAGCAGCTCACAGCGAAGGGTGGCACTTGTGGTCTCGGTGTCCCTGAAGAACAGATTGTGGGTCATCATCATTAGACTATTACTTACCAAAGACTGAAAAAGGAATCCATGAAATGAAAAAGGTCAAGAACTATTGTTATAGACCTATGACCTAAATTTGTGTGCAGCACTGTGGTCTCAGTATATCTTTGCTCTGAAAAGTGACTAGTAGGTTGTAGATTAAGTAATTAGAGGGATTTTTTTGTGTGACTTATGGAAATCAAGCATTACTTTAACGTCACCTGGTATACATTGTGGTGGCTCAATCTCGATTTGGCTCAATTGTGAGAGTTTTGTGCTCAAAAACATGAACCTTATCCCCAAAAAACTGAATCTTGATAGTATTAAAAAAGGTAGTCTAAATTATATAATGAAGCTCCTTGAAAAACTTCCTGAAACTTGTAGAGGTTTTCATATTGACACCTCAGACCTTCTGGTGAAAAGTAGACATAAGAGTTTAAAAAGAATTCTCTGACATTTCAAGACTACTTAGAAATATGAAATTATAAGGATCTAACCTTATGCAGGTAATTCTGATGTTCAACCCAAAATAGCATGATTAATTTTCATATGCAAATACTATCTTTTGAGCCTAGCTAAAGCTCACAAATGTTCAATTAGTATTCCAGGGAAAGCTTTCTACTTTGTTTGGGAAAGTCAGCAAGTTCCTTCAAAGTCTTCAGCAGCTCTATTACGCTCTTTCCTGAAGGGAGGCTGAAGGGAAGAGTACAGTTCTTTGAAGTCATAGCATCATAGCTTCTAAACTGGAAGATAATTTAGAGGTCATCTAGTTTACAAACCTTCTTTTACAGTTGAGGAAGCTGAGGCTAAGAAAGGATAAGTGAATTGCCCAAGGAAAATGAATGTCAGGGGCAAGAGTGGAATCCCAGTCTTATGACAAGTAAATCTCACTATATCATCCTGCCTCTCAAATGATTTATCTCTTATCTGATAGTAAAATTTGTGGGGAGCAACTTGGGGTGATTCCATGAAGTGATTCATGCCTTTAAAAACATTTTTTCATGGTAAGATAAAATTATAGCCTATGGGATTTTGTTCCTTTTTATAGGAGCTCTTAATCCAACAAATATATCTGTATAAACAGGGTAAATATTTATGTAAATCAGACAAAATGATTTATGACCTCCTATCACCTCAAATGGTCTTAGTCATTCAGTATCCTATGTCATCCCATGTCAGGATAAAATTCACATACTTGAGTGTATATGAATTAAAATTTACCCAACTAATCACTTGTATTGCCTTGAGTTGCAAGGGCAGGAGCAACAGGTTAACTGGGCAGTTGAATCATCAATACATCAATTCATTAGTGAGGGCTCCCTGAAAAGGAATAGGCTTGGCTGGCAATTTTATTTCTGGATGCCGTCTTGTTTTGCTTTGGAAACATGAAAAAATGCTGAAAACTTTAAATTCTCATTTTTAATGCGAAGGGAGGTTAAGAAGGAGTCACATGATTTGTTTCACTCTTATAATTTCACATTTTTTCCCATAAATTTCTAATTTGGGACCAAGTTCTTGGTTTCATGTCAAATGATGATTTGCCAAAATAACTGTCTAACTGTGATAATAGAGTCTATTACATCAACTCTGCTAGATTCCTTTGTATTGTCGTATCTTGTCATAATGTAAGATATTATGTTACAAGAAACAAAGCTATATAAAAATACTAAAGTTAATTATTTCTGAATGTTTTGTCTTTTGTATAGATGAAATAAAACACACATAACATATTCCAATCTTGATTCCCATATCAACAAGTATAAGTTTTATATGTATGAAAGAGGGAAATACATTTTTACAGGATAAATAGTATTTTTTTCTCATATCCACTCACTTTAGTTGATATTCTCCTTAGATAAAGCTTATGTGTATGTATATACATATATACACACAATAAAATATAATGATGCCATTTCCATTTTTAATAGGAAACAAATACAAGAGTGTCACTTGTGCAACACAGATCCTCTTTGGAGAGGATAAAGGACATCATGATCTACTCATTTTAATTTGTTATATTCAAGAGAATCTTAAGACTAGCTTAGCAAGGATCTGAGAAAGTTGACTCTAGAGCCAGATTTTGACATCTGTTAACTGGTTTTATAGAACAGCTTCTAAAGCTGGCTTCAGAGATCATTATGTAACTATATACAAGAACCAATAATGTCAGCATGCCATAACAACAAGTCACTGTGGTTCGATTTCAAATACTGCTGTGCATTTAATAGCTTCCTGCATGCTTTGTGTTTTTGTCCCAACAATATGATTGCATTTTGGGGCACAAATTCGCAGATTAGTATTGATAGTTATTGTGTTCAATAAAAAAAAAATCATGCATATTGTTCTCCACTTTCAAGAAGAATCTCTTGTTTCTCTGAAAAGCTTCCACCGTCTTTAAAAATACACATACGCAAGAAATGGTTTCATGGTGCATCCAACTCTGCTGATGCTTAGGTCATCATTTTTCCTTCGCTGCTTCCCTGACACTTTCATGTCAGACTGTATTTTTATAACAATAGGATTTTTGATTAGGGATTTCTAAACTGAAGGCATGGGAAAAAAATTTAAAAATCTAGGGAGAATAAATGATTCTGGTTCACAGATAAATTGTTTTAGTTTTTAAATTTTTTTCCCTCCCCTTTAAATATTTTAATGCTGTGATATGATAAATTTCATTTCCCATAAGAACAAATAAAATAAAATTTCCTAGTATGTGTTAGTGAAGGAACTCTCCACGGTGGTCTAAAAGAACGAATTCCTACCTCCAGATGAAGTGAAAAGCATGGAATAAATTAATTTCAAGGTAGGCATCTCCCACTCGGACTTAAAAACAAAAATTCACTAAACTTTGGTTACAATTTGCTTCACTAATCCCCAAGCTCATAATACAGGAGAGAGCTGAGCACAATGGGATACAATATACATTTTACTACTGTGCAAAAACAAATAAACAAAGAAATAATCCTCAGTAATAGTTGCTTTAGGGGTGAAAAAAATCAATATTTTTCTCAACTAGTCCTCAGGTAAATCTAGCTGAATATCATAATAGACACCAGTCTGTTACATGTATTACAAATCCAGCCATAAGAACATACTTAAGCTCTCAAAAGTAAAAGTCTAAAGGGAGCACTAAGGCCAACCATTCTTTAGATTTTCATTTCACTACATCAGTTACAAAAATATCCTGGGGGAATATAAAGGCTTCAGCATATTTTGCATTTTCAATTGTCATACATAAACACATAAAAAGGGACATGGATGATTTGATCCTTAGTGCATATGGATTACAAAATAAATATGAAAACCCTAATTCCTCAGGCTCCATGTTCATTTTAAGAATGATTTCTATAGTATGCTTGTAAGTTATTTTACCTTCTCTTAACCATGCAAAAGCTATAGTGTTTTAAAGCTGCAGATTAGTGATGGAGGCAGCTTATTTCTTTTGGTTATCTCTAGCACCATCTTAGTGTCTTGAGGCATAAAAGAATATTATCTGTGTGACAGTTATGGCTGGAGCCATCTATACTGTTCATGCTATCAGCACTCAAAGAGGTCTGAATAGAAATCATTCTGTTTGAGACATTTCTCTGTAGTTTCATTAAAAGCTTAAAATCACACAGTGCTGCAAGTTATGACTAAGGTTAGAGGGAAATTTTCAGCAAGTCTGGTATGTGTAAAAGGTATATGTTGTAAGGGCCAGGGATGGGATAAAGATGGGACTGTTCATCTTTTGTAAAGGCAATTGAACATAAGCAAGGCAATCTATAAATCTGCTTTCGTTCTTTCTTTTTTTACTTAATTTTCATCACAAAAAATGTGCCACTCTGATTGCATGAAATCATCAGAAGTGTCTTCAATTACTGCATGCAGCATCTGATCAAAATGATTCCTTTATTCTGACTCTGGGGGAAGGTTGGTGGGGGGTGGGGTTGGGTGGAGAGAATGCACAGCTAGTTATGTATTACAAATGTCAGGTTCCTGTGCAAGTGTATATATTCATATTTAATAATCTCTAAGCCGGAGTTGTGATTGTAATAATGGCTCATTCATATCTGCATTTCATTTAAATGCTCTGTTTTGA